TGAAAATAAACTTCTTGAACTAGATAATTTCGAATATGTGTTTATAATTCAGTTTAGAGTTGGAACTGGACAGGATCGGATTTTTGCTAGTTCATCATTACAAAATTGTTGTTTGCATCCAAGAATTGTCTGTACTGAAAACGGTGTTTTTTATGAAATTTTTAAATCAGAAGAATATATTTGCGAAATATTCAATAGATATCTTGTCTGCAACTTGATTACAAATGATTGATTGTTCTCTTTATAGTTCTATCGATTTCTTTCTCGTGTTAATCTAGATCAAATAATTTATTTTTTTGTTCTACTTAGGCAGCTACTTGAGTCAAGAAAATAAGTATTTACAATTTTGTGTTAGATTTGTTATAAACTTGCGTTTTTTTTTTCCTTTTTTGAAATTAAGATGAAAAAAAAAACAGATTTGATTTAAATAGATAATTTATATCGATATTGGACTCGAAAGGTTAACGTAATTTACTATAAAATATGATGATGATGAGAGTTTTATTCCCAAGTTTTAGTTGTCAGCTCGGATTATGAGTGGTGATTTTCTATTCATTTATTTTTGGATTTAATAAAACTTTCGTAAATGTAAATTGATCACCCCTAGTTCGGATTTCTACACGTAAATATTCAATTCCTATTCGCCATCATTTTATATGAACAGATACCTTCATGAGCGGTTATTTTTGCCAGTTTGGCTGTAAAATTCATCCGACCAGAAAAAACTGTCCGTTTTCAAATCTGATTCAGTTGTTCTGATATCAATTTACTTTTATTATTGTCTTAAATCAAAATTGAACATTATCGAACAGTCTCTGCGTATGTACTTTAATTTTCTTGATAATTGTTGAGATTTCTTATTAATATAAAATGAAAAAAAGAGTTAAAATAAGCCTTTGTTACCAACAAAGAAAAAAGCATCAACTCGTCCAATTGAAGATATTTATGATCAATTCTGTATAAGCAATCAGCTTTTGTTTCGTTTCAGAGGCAGATTCTATACTTTTGAAATTCGAACAATGATTTATATAATTACTCTCACAACTAGAGATGTGCTAGTCCCCAGTCTTTACCCTGGCCGAGAGAAAACTATTAGATAATTTATTCTTATCCAACCTAAAAAAAAAGAATCTTAAATATTCTTTTTTTTAATTGAGTCAATACATCGACAGATGGAATGGTATTAAATTGATCGAAAGAAAAAATAGCGAAACATCCTATGACAAAAAATCCCTTGTAATCGTATGAATTTATTGAAAAAAGTGTATTTCAATATTTTCGATTATACAAAAAAACAAACAATCTATGTTTAAGTAGACCAACAAAAATAATAGTGAATCAAAAATATTCAGGCATAAAATCAACAATAGGACTATATGTTTCTTTTATGTGGATGTGAATATCAGTTCCCACTTCATCTCTAATCCTGAATTCCACATCTTACTCTTTGATAGAATCACTCAGGACATTTTGATACATACCGATAGATAATCCCCCATGACACTTGAGCCTGGCATAAAGAACAAATTAAAGAAATGCACTTATTTTTGTTTGAATAAGTCCATATTCACATGAAAAACTAAATAGATCTCTTGTACTTATTTAAACTATAAGTCTCTTATTATCAAATTTTTCATTACACAGTTCATATTTCAGGGTAGGAGTGGATATCGTTTTTCTGTACACACGCATCGGTGTTCTATTTTTTGCCTCGCCCAGACCAATCTAAATGAGTAAGCAAAATGATGATGAAGAAATTTATCTCAAAATAGATAGTATAAAACAATTTTCCTGTGACTAACAACAGCAGCTACATCATCATTTTAATCCCATAGAGATTGTGCTAACCACTTGTTTTGGTATGAAAACTATTGAAATATTTTTATTTAAATATTCTAGGTAATGAACATCTTGTTCAATTACTCGATGAAAATTTTCTCTTAAGTAATATTCGTCAACAACTCGATGCTGAATATCGTTTTCCAACAGCTGTTGGACAACAAATAACATTACCAACAAGTATTGAAGATGAAAAATTACGTAATTTTAATAATAATATAGAATTATTAGAAAATCAAATTTCAATATGTAATTTAAATGATATTGAATTAACAAAATTTGATGATGAAGTACAAATGGGTTTTGAAGTTCAATTATTATCACTTGATTTACTTGAACAATATCCTCAATTAGATCCAATAAAACGTTCTATTAAAGTTTGTTAATTAATTTATTCTTTTTTGTTTGTTTCTATTAACAAAAAACAAAGATTTTTTTCTTTTTTAGTGTTATCGAATGTTAAGTCGACCACGTGGTCAATGTTTATTAATAAATAATGTTGATGCTTTTAAAACAATGGAAATTCGTCAAGGTTCAGATATAGATGCAAGTAAATTAAAAAGTTTATTTGAACAAATGGGTTTTATTGTTGTTGTTCGACGTAATCTTAATTATCTAGTCTGTTGAAATTGATGTTTTGTTTTTTTTTTGTATTATTAAGTTAAAATTTTCGAATTTAGGAAATGGTTAATGTAATAAAAAATTTTGCTGATTTAATTGAAGAAAATAATGATTCATATGATTGTTCTATTGTTATTATATTAAGTCATGGTGGAAATGGAAAAATTTATGCTGTAGATGAACTTGCATTAGATGTAAATAAATAGATTGTAGGAATTTATTAAAAGAAAAAAAATTTTTTTTTTTTTTTTTTGATATTTTAAAGGTTGATGAACAAATAATATCAGTATTTGATGATCATTTAATAGGAAAGCCAAAATTATTTATTTTTCAAGCATGTCGAGGATGTAAAATTTAATATTTTTTTTTTTTTCTTATTAAATAAAATTCTTATTGTATTTAGCTCAATGTAATTATCGTTCAGAATCGATCTCATCCAATCGTTTATGGTCAGCAGATAGTGCTAGAAATGAAAATAATCAAACAAATCTTGATAGTGGGACTAATATAATAACAAAAGTTCCTAAACGTAGTGATATGATTATATGGTATTCAACTTTAAAAGGTAAGGTTCTTTTTGATATTTATAAAAAAAAAAAGCTTAAAAAGTAAATTGTTTTAGATTATGTTTCATGGCGTTTACCAGATGAAGGTAGTATATTTATTCAATCATTAATTACAGTTTTTGCTCGAACAGCATGGTATTATGATTTAGTTACAATGGTTCAATGTGTAAGAAAATTGATTAATTTAAATTTTATAATTATTAAATTTAAATAATATAATAGGTTAATCGAACAATGAAAGAAAAATTTTCAGCTCATGAATCAACACCATTTCAAACACCATGCTTTGAATATCATCTTGATTATGTAAGTTCAAAACAAAAATCAATTCGATTTTTTCTTTAAGATTTTTTTGTTTTTTGTATTTATAGCCATTATATTTCAATCCAGGTTGTTTCGATCAACATTAATAATTATTATTGTCTAGTCAAATATGTTTATCATTTTTTTTTTGTCAAATATATATATATATATTTTCTTTTTTCTTAATAAAATTGATAAACTGATACAAGATTTATATTATAAACAAAGAAAGAATGAACATGGTAATCTGGAATGATTGCTTTTTCTTTGTTTGAGAATAATCAAAAAGTTCAATCAATCTTCTCTCTTATATCATATTTCTCTTATTAATCCACAACATAAAATCAAATGCTTTAAATAAGAACTAAGTAGTTTGATTACGAGGAATTGAATTGCAAGAAATTCATACAATTAATTAATACACAAGGCTACATTTTATAAAAGAAACATCAATCGATGAAAAAAAAAAATTCTTTTGTAGATTTTATCAACATACAATTATAAGTATGAGAAATGTTTTACTTTTGAAAAAAGTATTTATTCTCATGATAAATATTTGTAATTAAAGATCATGTCTCATGAGAAATTACCTTCACACATTTTTTTTTCTTGCTCTTTTTTTTTTGTTCATTTTATTTGCCCTCAAAGTAACTCTCCACACCTTCAACATAACTTTTCTTTTTTTTTTTTTTTTTTACATATAGGATCAAGGTAAAAAAAAAAGTGCGATACACCCTCATCAGATAATAATCATACGAAGACACGCTGCTCAATGTACTAGAGAAGAAGACATCATTAGTCATACGATTTTATTCGTTATTCAAGGTTATTATTAACATGTTATATATCTATTGACTATTTTCTTTCGTTTTTTTTTTGTTGCTCATATACTCAATTCTTTAATCTGTATGGATAGGAGTATTTGTCGATAATTCAACATATACACCTATATTTAAGAAACAACTCAAGAGAAGAAATGCAAGGGATTAGAGATTTACAAACAACAATGAATATCGTTGAAAAGATAATTTATACATGTGAAGCCTTTTGTAATAGAGACAACAAAAAAAATGCGAGGAGGAATATCGTTCACTCTTGATGATGAACAAAAAAAAAAGAGTGATTTAGTATACTAGAAGCTTTACTTCTTCTATGAGATGTTGTTAAGTAAAAGACAAACGAAACTTTTTTTTTTTTAAACGAACATAGAAAGAAAGTGCGAAGCATTAAGTTACGTGAATGAAATAGAGGGAGAGAGAGAGAGAGAAAGACTAAGATATATATATCTAGATGTTCGATCTTTTACGATTGTCCTCTAGTTATAACGTCGTTGTAGACAGCGACAGCGATAATGATAGTAGGCGACTGTATAATAGTAAAGATAGACGAAGGAGAAAAAGATACATTCTTTGCGATCATACAGACACAAAATGTCGAACGAGAACGAAAAAAAAAAGAAAAAGAGAACAAAGAAGTATGTATACCAATAGTTGAACCATTTTTAAGTGTCATTAGTATGTGATCCTCACATCCTTACAACGTCGAATAATTTTGTTGATAGTATGTATATATTTATTTCTAGTAATTCTAATGAATAAATGAAAAATACAAAAAGAAAATTATCGATTATTATAATCATTTTTTTTTGTTTTCAGATTTTGTTTATCTCAAATGGCTTGTATCAATAATTCATTTTCTTCACATATTTTTCTAAGTGATCTTCCATCATATGGTCTTATTGGTCTTATAACTATTGGTTTAATTCTTTATTTAGCTTATATAATAACTTATATACGAAATGATCATATATCAACAACAATATATATAAATATTTCTCAATTATCTTTATTTTTTGTTTTATTTTGTTCAATAATATTTGTTATTCGACCATCAGCATCAATAAATTTTATTTGTTCAATTCAAACAATTTCATTACAAATTTTTCCTTTTTTTCTTTTACTTGGTTTTAATATTCATTTTATATATCAATGGTTATTACAAACAACAAAAAATTCTAATAGAAAAACTTGTCTTATATTAATAAGTTCATTTTTAATATTTTTTCTTGCAATATTAATACAAACAAGTATACTTCTTATTTGGTTTTATAATCATTATAATTATCAACAAATTTATAATACATGTACAAATGAATGTTATCGACCATTATTTCTTTGTTCATTATCATTTAATTTTTTTTTATTATTTCTTTTTTCACTTCAATCAAGTATACGATATCATTTATATAATTATCAAAATGATCTTATTTATTTATTAACAAGTCTTCTAGCATTATCTGTTACGATTACATGGATTTGTTTGTATTTATTTATTCCATTGAGATCATCATTAACATTTTATATGAATAATAATTATATACTTGCCTATGGAAATTTATTTCTTGTTTATACATTTCTTGGACCTTTACTATTTGAACAACTTTTTTATCATCAAAATATTCGTACTAAAGATCATTTACATAAGGTATGAATTATTTCAACATGATATAGATTAAAATTGAAATAAAGTTCTTTCCCCCCTCCCTCCTCCCCCCCCCCCCTTCCTTTTTCTCTTTTTAGTCTAGTAAAATGACATTTAAATCTTTATCCTTGACAAAAGAGCAGCAACGTGCATTCATGGCCGCTTATATTAAACGTAATCTAACAGCATCATGTGAAAATCTTACAACAATAACTATTTCATCACCTATGCCAATCAATAGACAAATCCATCCAGAATCAAGTCAAACATGTCATTCAACATTAAGTGTTGGTAGTTTATGTCCAACATTAGCTAGTACAGTTTCACATGATACACCACCTAAAATATTACCAATGACAACAACCGATACATCAAGTTGTGGGACAATGACAAGTGAATATTTACCTTTACCAACATCATCCATTAATCATAAGATGAAATAATTAACATTAATATAAAATACAACAATGACCGGTGGTGAATAAAATATTTGATTTAATTTGTTAGAAACGATTCAACTTCGTTTATGTCGATTAATTAGAGTCAACTAAGAAAAAATTTCTCATTTTCATTTACAAAATATTTTTTCCTATTCTTAGTCGACAGAAATTTTTTGTTTTTCTTTAATAGATTTCAATATAATAATTAATCATTTAATCGACAAGTTATAACGCAATACATAAGAAGTACTAATAATCGCTATTTGTTTCTTAATATGTTCTGTTAGTATGTTGATAGATAGAACTACCTGTTAACTAGATAAAGAAAGTCTACATATTATCCTCATGTGCTGTATGATTGCCTTTATAATTCTTCTGTTTCGAAAAAGATATGAAACTTTTGTCTCATTCTTTAAGAATGAATTTCGATTTATTGAAACAATGATTAAATTGAGATGATGATGCCAACATCTCTTTCTGTTAAAAAAAAACCGTTTTATATCTATTACGTCTGCTACTGTTAATTGCAGCATAACTTGTCGATATAAGATTTAATTATTAAATTGTAATTTATCAAAAGAGAAAACAACTGTTGACGAAACGGTATGACATTGCTAGAGGTTGATATATTTTCACAAAATCTTTGTAAAAAGTTTAATAGTTTCAATAATAAAAACAAAAAAAGAAAGAAAATCTAAACGCTCTTCGAACAGAAGCAAAGATATAATAATTGAAGATCATAATGAATGAACTGATAATACAAAATAAATTCAATGAGAATAGCTCTACAAGATACATTGTAAAGTTTGCATTCTTCTATCTTCACACACAAGAAGTAAACGATTATTAACATTAACTTCAGGAAGAACATTGAATTTTGAAAAGGCCAATAGCAACAAACAAAACACTGAAATCCGAAGTATATATTAGGACATTCCATGCAGAGGCTGCGCGAGGATTTCAAAGTTGGGAAGCGAATGTTTAATTATTGAAAGAGTATGATAATGCAGCAATAACATCAGCAGTTTCTTTTAATTATCTTGATGCTCATTATTCACCTTCAGCAGCCATTGGCCTTTACATTGATTGAAGTAAACGAACATTCGTACTAAACGAAAACAACAACAACAACAACAACAACAAACATTCACTATTGATTATATTAAAATAATGACAATCATTAAGAATTTCTTGAAGAGTTTTCATGCCAAGTACATTTCATAATGTTGTCCGTAGTAGCAGAATGAACATCGTATACTTTTGTTACACTGGCAGTCTATAAAGAATTATTCTTTTTATAATCATTTTGGTCACACCTACTTGTAAAGCCTATTGGATTTGATCCTAGATCAGTCCGACAAGATCTACTTACCGGATCAATAACACGACTGTAAACAACAACATCAACGAAATCACGTGTTAAAATCTAATCAAATTTAAAATTGATTAGAAAGAAACATAGAAGATATGATATTTTACTTCTTATGATGATACATGAAATGTAGTTGTTCTCAAATCAACAATCAAATTTAATCATAATAAATACTAAACTTGATAGGTCGTCTTACTATAGATGTGACACTTTAATTCTAACGAAATAAGTACTGAACAAAACTGCATCAAGGAATTTCTCCTAGTGTCAAATCGCTTTTTTGATTGAGATGATATTGACTTTGATAAGTAATAGAAAAAGTCTAGAATGATTTGATTTTCCGAGCAATCGTTCTTGGAATATCGAAATTTTACTGGATTTTTCAATGAAAAGCTGTACTTCCCAAAAAATTGACTTTCGAGTTTTGACTTCGAACTTTGGACGAATAAAATTCTCAACTTAGCTCGTACAAAATTTAAAGTCAACACTCGAAAGTTGATTTTTTGTTGAAAAATCCAATAAAATTTTAAGATTTCAAAATCAAAACAATTTTAGATTTTTAAACCGACTTGACAAAATGACATTAAGATATCTATCTGACATTATCATTCTTTCGAAAACAAAGAACAATTCAATTAACTTCCACCATTATTAAACGAATAAATTTTCTCATTCATAGATTCTATTGTTGTCATATCATACTATCAAAGTTCAAATAAAAAATAATTACAAAACACAAACAGAAGAAACATTTCAAAATTTGTTTTATATTTCATTCATAGCAATCAAATATGTGAACTGAATATTTGATTAGTTTATTTATTAAATAAAAAGATAATAATAACAACACTATCAAACAAAAGAAAAGACTAATTACATGAATATATTAAGAATAAATATTGTCAATATTTTATTAAATCATAATTTATTTATATAGGATGTCGAATTAAATTGAGGAATTCAACTAAATAAAAATTAAATAATTAATATAAAAAAAAAATAAAGTAATTAATCAAACATACCAGGAATTGGAAAAACAATTGTTGAATTTTTTTCTGCAGATATTTGTGTTAATGTTTGTAAATAACGTAATTGTAAAGCAATTGGTGATGTAGCAATAACATCAGCAGCTTCTTTTAATTGTCTTGATGCTCGTTGTTCACCTTCAGCAGCAATAACTTTTGCACGAGCTTCACGAGTTGCTTCAGCTTCAGCAGCCATTGATCTTTGCATTGATTGAGGTAAACGTACATCTGTACTAAAACAAAAAAAAAACATTCACTATTGATTATATTAAAATAATAACAAACATTTCAACACGTTCAACTTTAACACCCCATGGACCAGTTCCATCATCAAGTTGAATTTGCATATTTTGTGCAATAGCTTCACGATCACTAAGAATTTCTTGAAGAGTTTTCGTACCAAGTATATTTCGTAATGTTGTTTGTGCAAGTAATTGTGTTGCATATTGAGTATTTTTTACATTTGTTACACTAATTACCTATTATAAGAATTGAATTATAATGTTTTACTTAGGGCATACCAAAAGTAGTGACGCCCGCATCTCAATTTCTTATAGAAGGCTTGAGTAAATTTTCTTTTTTTATGAGATGATAGAGAAAACAAAGCTCTATTTTTCTGTGCTATTTCATCTCTATTTAACTGGTATTATAATAATAGAATTTCGATAAGAACTATTTTTGCGTAAAATTTCACTGACGCGTGAGGCAGATTAAATATTTGAATCGCTTAATACGTTGTATTAAAAAACAAAATATACCAAACAATGCAGCGTGAAAAGATCTACAATTTACATAAGATGACTTTTTTTTATAGTTGTACTTTTTGTTTTCAAAATGAACAAAATTTTGAGTGATCAACTTTCGTATGTGCGAAAACTATAGTTTTTGATGTAAGATGAGTTCATTTGTTCTTATTTCACCTTTTTGTCATTTGATATCCTTTGTTTAAAAAAAAACAAAATATATCACAAGATGCGGCGTGAAAAGCTCTACAATTTACATAATAAAGTTTGTTATAATTATGTCGCCTTGTCAAAAGAAAACAAAATTTTGTGTAACCAATCTTCGTTGCCCGAAAAAAATCATCCAAAGAGAAATTTCTTTTTTTACTTATTTCAAATACAAAATAAACTGTTCTTTATAAATTGTAGAGCTTTTCACGCTGCATCTTTTGTTTTTAAGTATAACGTATTAAATGATTAGAAATTGGAATAGAAAGCGTACTAATGGATTAGTGAAGTTTTACGCAAAAACAGTTCTTATCGAAATTCTATTATTATAATACCAGTTAAATAGAGATGAAATAGCACAGAAAAATAGAGCTTCGTTTTCTCTATCACCTCATAAAAAAAAGAAAATTTACTCAAGCCTTCTATAAGAAATTGAGATGCGGGCGCCACTACTTTTGGTATGCCGTAAGTATTTTATTATTTTATATTTACTGGATTAAAAACTCGACTATAAACAACTGCATCTACTGATGCAGTTACTGAATCACGTGTTAAAACCTAACAAAAAATAAATTCAAAATAATTAACACAAAAATAAAAAAAAAAAAAATTTATACTTCTTGTGGTGGAACATTAAATGTTGCTGTTCGTAAATCAATTATAATTATTGTATCTACACAAGGTAAAATACAAAATAGACCAGGTCCTTTACCACCACCTGAACGACAGAGAAAAAAAAAAAATTTTTTTTTAGTAAACATAAAACTCAAAACCTGGTAAAATACGACCAAGACGAAATATAACAGCTCGTTCATATTCTTGAACAATCTATTAGAACACATATGAAATAGAACATATTTTTAATAATTAAAACAAACCCGAATACAAAAACATAATGATATTGGAAATGTAATAAATATTAGAAGATACGAAAGACCAATTAAAATCCGACTACATAAATCAACATTATTCTCTGTTGCTAAAATACATATATTAAAGTTGAATAACTACATATTCTTTCCAATTCTGGACAAAATTAGCTATCCCTCCCTCAACAAGTGTTACTATTCCTTATGATATTTTGAGTATATGCATAGAACAATAAACCATTCTCCGTCGGTTCACATGTACTGAGTTATTATATGTGAACCAATGGAGAGCGAATTGATGCTTACAGTCAGTGTTTATTATTGCACGCATATACCTAAAATATTAGCTTAATATAATAAAGAATAGTAGCATTTCATAGGAGATAACAACTTTTATCCAGCATTGTATATATTAATCTAAACATAGCAACATACGTGTAATATCTACTGTTGTAGTCGTTGGATGCATATGAGCTAATAAATTTATTAACAGAAAAAAAAAAAAAATCTTAATAAAATATAATCTTACTTTCGATAATAGCTTCATCTTTGGGTGATGATCTTGTAGTCATTTTTTTGTATCAATAATCTTTTATTTAAAAGAACAGAAAACAAATCGATCAAATTTTTTTTTTTTTTTGTTCTTCTATACAAATAACATAAGAAAAATGAGTTATTCCTATACGCTAATGTTATTAGTACTTAACAATACGTAGAAAAACAAGGTTAAATATTATAGACATTACTTTCTTCAAATGACAAAACATAGAGAAAAATCAACATAAGATTCTTACTACTATCATTTCTTTTCTTTTTTTTTTACAACATAGAAAATTTTTATTGTAATACGACCATCTTCTTTTTTTTTTTTGTTTGGAAGAATAACAATTAGATGAACATGTTTTCTTTTATTCACAGAAAAAAAGAAAGATGACCTAGATTCATCTCAGAAATGAACACTAGAATATCTTGATAGAAAGAAAAAAAGAATCTCTCGTACATTGACCGCGACCTCAATATAGCGAATAGATGAATAACTAACTCCAATGCATTGTATCGGACAAGTAACTTAATAGACGATGAAGAGAAGAGAAAAAAAAAACGATGACTATATCTCTATTCCATATTTAGCATAACAGATGTGTATTCTTTTGGAAGGAATCATTCATAAAAATTTTGATCATATTAAGATATATTCATTGAAATTTACACATTGTGTAAAATATTGTGCCTTTTTTGATATTAACTAAATCTCATATACTTAGAATAATTGTCATAGATTACAATTAAAACATTGCCCAAAGGCTTGCACTTGAACAAGCTGATAATTCAAAATAACAAATATATAAATTAGCTTAGAATAATTAATGTATGATAATGCTTTTCAATAATCAATATATAATTGAAAATGATATACAATTTATTACCAATAGGAAATATAATTTCCTATTGTTTGTATATATTTGAATTTTCCAAATGATAGTAATAAAAAAAAATTTATATTCTTTTCTATAAAAAAGAGATTTTTTAATTATTTTCTTTGAAATGTTAATTTCATATATTTGATTATTAATGTCATTATCATTTTTCATACTATGCATTATAGACACGATATGTTTTATATCTGATTTTTTATCTAAATTTATTTTTACAAACTACTATTATCAAATGAAATATTGAAACGTATTATCGAATCGTACTAATGATATATAGAATATTTGAGATTCTATATGTAGAATTTCCAAGTATCATTTATTTAGAAAAGTTGTCCTTTGATTAATAGACACATTAGTGCAAATTGAGTAATAAAGAGTTAGTGTGTTGATGTATCCTATGGCTAGATAATGAACTTATCTCAAAAGTTAATTGATTAATAGAAGAAAATTAAATAATCATAATCATCACCTTATCTCTGATCCGAATAATTTCATTAACGGTACTTCTTCTATTTTAGACTACTTTTCTAGTTCTCTACAAGAGTACAAAGGGTCGAATGTGCAAATTTTTACCACAGATTGATAGATATATGTACATATCGTTTGAGATCACCTGCATACAAATAATTTTGAATAAATCGTATAAAATAATTAGATTATATCTTAAATGTTCAATCTGTAGAAGATTTTTGTTAAATATTTTAATAATACAATAAAAACATTCTTTTGAATTTTTCTTAAATCGATTGAGATAATTATCATATATAGTTTTTTTTTTTGACTTTTCTATCATTGAATGACGATCAAAGAATGTGCAAATCAAATTCATCTTCTTCTTTCTTTTGATTTTTCTATCTTTCACATTAAATGATTGACAACAATCTGATCTATATGCATATACATTCTCTCAATATATAGAAAACGATCATAGTGTGATGTCACCGAAATAATTACAAGGCTCGTAAATGTGCGTATGTGTGAAATTGTTGTTTGCTCAAACACATGTGCACGGGAAAAAAGAGACAAACATTTAAAATATCATCAATTCTTATTCTAACTCATTAATGAGAGAAAAAGGAAAAAAAAGAAAGAAAAAAACGAGACATATTTATACTCTTTGCCTGATAAGTCATAGACACATCCTGTTACTGTCAACATGTCTTCACGAATTCCTTTACAACTAATGTCAAGTAATACACCTGATTATTATTATTCTTCTTCTTCTTCTTCTGTAATGTATGAACCATATTGTAATTGTTGTTATTATGAAAATCAATCAATACATATGGAAAATTCTTATCAAACATCTTATATGGAATTTAATTTGAATCCAATATCAACATCATCGTCATCAGTATCAAATGATTCAAAAAAGAAATCAATAACACGTCGATCAAAACATATTCCACATCATCTTCGACCACAACATATTGTTGAACGACGTAATAGACGTGAACGATTACGTGTACAAGATGTTAATCAAGCTTTTTATATGCTTCAACAACTTTTACCTTTAGATTCAAATTCAACAACAACAACACACAATAATAATAATGATGATGATGATAATAATAATAATAAAGAACAATTAAATATGACACAAAATTCATCTCGTATATCAAAAGTTCGAACACTTCGTAAAGCAGTTGATTATATAGAAGCACTTCAAAAAATGTTAAATGAAAATAATTAAATTTTTCATTTTTTTTTTTTATTTTATTTTACTTAATAATTAGATTTACATTGTATCTATAATTGTACATCAAATAAATTAAAATGAATATAAAACAAAGGATTGGAAAATGATTTAAACTGATCTATTGTATATGTACTTAACTTACAAGGAAACTCTTCCCATTGATAATTCGCTCTTGAGTCGAGACTAGTATATGCATTATGTAGATCCAAATAAGCTAAGCTTATTGCCATGGTAACAGAAAAATTAATTTTCGAATTTCGACTTGAAACGTTGCATAAAAGACAGGTCTTAACAAGAATAATTTTTTGTGAATGTTTCAGATCTTGACATTGTACCTATTCTAAGATACAACTATGGTAATGATATGTTTTTTATATCGTTCATATAAACCGGTAGATTTATTGTTCTTTCTTCGTTAGTATGATTTCAAGGCATTATTATTAAAGGAATTAGAATCCCAATCCATTTCTTTTTGAACCAATTCGAAGTCATATAAAGTGAGAACATCATTAATGGCAACAAAATTGTTTGTTATTTATTGTAGATATAACTCTTTTACTTTAAAATAACTTTTAAACGTACTTGTTCATCGAATTATGCAAGACAACTCCTCGCCATTGATTATTGAATATTCGTCAAAAAAAGAAATATGAATTTTAAAAGTTATAATCACTAATTCAATCAGTTGATATAGGTATACACCCGATGCCAATCAATAGGAATGTTTTTGTTATAGACGTAACTGACAATATTAGAGATTCATCATAGTCAAGTAAGCTCTTTCATATTTTAAAAAGAACTGTATATGAGTGAATTCCAATATTATTGTACCGTTTTGAGAAAAAAAAGAGCGAAAGAAATAAATCTCCCCGACTACTACTATTAGTATGACCGAGACAGATGAGAATCATTCAAATCTCATGAAAATACTTGAATTTAAATTATTCTCATTTACGTCAAATAACTAATTGAGACTCGAAGTTTAGTATGTCTAATAATACACTTTATGTTATATATTCATGATGTGACATCATCTGTACAAAATGAATTCCATAGAACACGGTTTAACAATCAGTTCGCAGTAACATTGATAGTGCTTAAGATAAAAATTGAACTACTCATTTATAATATATTTGCATCGACCTTAATTGTGAAGAATTATATACATTATAATCTCGCGTGACACATTTGAATTATCTTTTGTTTTTTCTTATGAACCAAAAGTTTTCTGACACACTGATATTGTCGGTAGTAGTTCATCATAATAAATTGATAAAATGATCAAAGTCACATCTCAAATTGCAATCTCATAAGAAAGCTATAGGTCAAGACAAATGAAAAATCTCGCATGATATTTAGTATGCCAATTAAGTTTTCTCATTATTTTTTAGGGATTTATCTTTCATTCACTGACTTCCATTCTATGATACCCTGATCGGTTTTTGCAGAAAATCGAACAATGAGTATACATTTAAGACTTCCAAAAATTGAAACGAGGAAAGAAAGAAATTGACTGTACCACATAATTTAAAAGTCCATGATAGTCAAAATCAATCTTTTAGATCTTATGTACTTAGTAACTTGGAATTTATTTGAAATAAAACAATTTAATTATAGAAATGAATGTATGTCACCAAGTTTTTTTTTTCAATTCAGCTTTCGCAGGATAGTCAACATTAATTCTGCGCATTTCTATTTACAATGCATGAAGGTCAGTGCCGTTTAGATTATATATCCATCATAGAGATCGATATGGATTAATTGCTCGAAATCCAATCCAAAGTCTAAGATAGTTTTTCACAGATCAGACATTTTTTTGGTGAATTCTCAGGTCAATGATTTCGACTGGTAAACTAAGGAAAACTGGTGTGGGTGTGAGTATTAAGAAAGTCATCGCCTACATCCACACCCTAATTTACTAAGTTACTGAAATCGATATCAAACAGTTGATGAAGATTTATTACTTTTAATACAAATTGATAACTATCAATGGTTAATTACGATCGATAGAGTTATATCACAAAACGTCTTATATCATGATCAGAAATAGAAGTTAATTGCAAATCAAAACGAGGGAACAATATTACATCGAAAAGGTTCAATTCTATTCTATGATAATAAAGACTATTAGCACAATACCTGAAAAATGAAAATATGAAACACGATATACACTTACATATATTATAAATCACGGAATTCTGCAACATAGGACTTACTTTTTTCAATTCGAATGT